TTTTCCAAGTGGGGCAAGAAGATGGACTGCAGGTTGGGACTCTGTGAGACCAGGTACATGGGCAGCACTGCATTTATTCCCAGTGGGATAGGTGTGACCCAGACAGAGAAGAATAATTCTGTCTCTTACGAAGACCATGGCATGACTTCAGTGCAGTGATGACACAGTGCCTTAGAAGCTTCCAGAGTTTTTCTTTTGGAAACAACTTTTGAGAATATTTCATGGAGGGACCAGCACAGAGGCTGTTGGACAGGTCACCAGTGCTGGTGAGAGCAGTGAAATGGAAGAATTTGAGAGACCTGTTTGGTACATGGAAACTATCCCCTGTGCTTTCAGAAATACCAGACGGGATTTTTCAGGGGACCAAAGCCCTGTACTGTGAGGGGAGGGATTTGAGCTGTAACTTGATATGCCCTGTCAGTATGCAAATATTGGCAAGGTCTTGGGAGATGCCATTTACACCCATAAAGGAGCTCTCATGAAATCAATTGACTGGGAACAAGAGTCTTTTGGAGACTCTTACTTCTACTTCTTTCCTTGTTACCTTTACCTCCTTCTTAGGCCAATGTGGCTGTTCCTTGAATATATGATTTTTTAACATAGTATTGGTCTCTTCTATGGGAACTGTTTACTTATTGCAGTTATTGGGTGTGCGGTTCTGTGTGCCCATATGGGTGCTGTCCCAACTGTATTGCTTTTGCCCTCAGTTGTCAGTTTAATTCATTAATGAAATAAGGTCATTGGAAATGCTGACACAGATCTCTGTAGCGAAGGTGGACCATGCTTGTGGCCTCCTCTTGCGGGGTAAGCTTGAAGAGACCTGGTATGCTGTCATTTGTGCTCCTTGTTGAATGAATGAGCTGGCTCTGGTGTTTGCGGATGGATCTTGCCTTGCATCCCTTGGTCTGGTTAGACCCAGGGAGTGGCATCTTAGAGTTTAGCACTTAATTGCTCTTTAAACAATGCTTCATGTATGCCAGTGTTGTCTTTCCAGATAGACACACAATCTTTCCTTGGGATCAAGGGTCCTTTGACACTTCTCTGGTATTTCTGTGGTATGCTGCAGAGACCAGACCATAATACAGTTTTGATGAATATTTCATTGCTTCTTTAAAAAAACAAAAACAATAGAGCAACAGAACAAATCTCTCCTTTCAGTTCATGTAGCATTCACGTTCTTCTTGCTGAAATGCTGTTTTTACAAAGGGATTTGTTCCATTTACAGCCCTCACTTCTCCACATATTGCATTGGAATGTGCCTGGTATGGGCTTTTTAATCAGTTGGAAAGACATTGCCTCCATGGCAGTAATACCAAAACAAGGGGTGAGGATTTTTACATGGTTGATTGTAAGAAAGAAATCTTTTAGGTATTTGTAGGGTAAGGTAAAAAAGCATCAGGAGTTTCTGCCCTCCCGCCATTAGGATAGATGACGGATCCCTGTGGTCCTGAATGCATGCCTGATGGTGGGCACCTGGAGTAGGGTGTGGGCATATGTAAGTAGATACACCTGGGCTGAGAGACTTGGGCTTCTAAGGGCGGCATCACGGGGATGCCAGAGGAAGAGCAGAAACCAGAGAGAATGGAAGAACAGAGCAAAGAGAGAAGCAGAGGCCACAGAAAACGCTGGAAAGCCCAGAAAGAGTGAAGACTTGTACCCCTGCCTGCCATGTACCTGGTAAATCCAAATAAAAGCCTGCAAAAGCCACCAAGGACTCCAGGATTCCTCCTTTACCCCGTCTACTCGGGTCATGGAGATCCTGCTTCGTGTCCTCCTGCCATTACAGTATTAGTCTCAGATCCACTGTGAAATCAGCAGTGGTGGTAGAAATCCACAGAATTCAGTGGCAATCTGATAGTTCTGAGTAACATCAGACTAATGCATCAAAATGAACATGTGGTAGAACAGAATGCTGACGTGGGAAGTTTTTACGGATGGATCCATATAACTTATATAATAAGTGTAGCTCATTTTGTCCCCATTTTTTGGGAAAAAAGTTTTGCTAATCACGCAAATATTAGACATTTACTTGCATAACTTCTCTCGTCTATTTTTACATACACTACATTTTGAGAAGGCAATTAGAATTGGATTTTTGCTCACAAATACTCTCTTTTATTGCTCTGACACAGATATTATTGTTAACAAAGTTCTCTATGAGGACTGTGCCTTTCTCTTTCCAAATGCTGAGCACAAGGCCAAATTGAATGAGCAGGCAGTGCTGTTCCCACACACAGAAGCTATCCTGCTCTTCTCCTTCCACTCCGTCCTCTTCCTGCTTTTTCATTCTTTCTCTTACCGGTCCTGGGCAAGGGATCTAGGGCTGCCTTAACGGATACCACCGAGGGAGTGACTTAAGACATTTATTTCCTCACAACCTACCTACAGCTTGATCTCGGACCTCTAGAAGTTAGGGGTTTCTTCCGAGGCTTCCGTCCTTGACTGGCAGGTGGTGACCTTCTCACTGTGCCTCAGCGTCTTCCTTCTGCCTGTTTTTTTGTGTCCTTCTGATCCCTTCTCCTAAGGATACCAGTTCCAGTGGGTTACGGCCTTCCTTGACTTGGAATCGCATGAAGCTGATTCTGAATATTTTCCTAAGTGAGAACCTCTCCGAATCCTTCCCCTTCAGATGTCCCAAAGAAAAGAAAGATGAAAGATAATTCAGAGTCCGTCCTAAGACCATCCCATTCTGCATTCCTGTATTTAGGGAAGCAAAGAAGCATGTAAAACACCAGTTTGGTAATTCCAGTTCACACACCGTGGTCCCCGGGAAGTGGGCTGCAGGGTGGAGGCCAGCAGACAGGAAGCTGACCAGGGAGTACTCGCAGGCTTCACACCTGCAGACAGTGAGGACAGGAAGGAGGATTGTGCAGAGGAAGTTTTTTTTTTTTTTTTTTTTTGTGGGGCCCTCGCCGGCGACCGGTGAACGAACTGGCACTGCAGAGGCTGCGGGCAGCCTCGCAACCCCGGTGCGCCACCAGGGGAGGCCCTGAAATGAAGTTTTTTTTTTTTTTTAAAGATTTGTTTATTTATTTATACAAGCGCTGGGCACAGTCAGAAGCGCGGGAGGGTGAGAGAATTCACCAGAGCCAGAGCGGGGAGCAGAGCAGGCAGAAGGACCGAAGTACACTGCTGAGGGGAGCAGCGGGCGGCAGGAGAGGTCTGCGCGCCATGTGGGACCCTCCTCTGGTGGCCGGGGAGCAGCCGGGGATCGAGCCGGCGCTGCAGAGGCTGCAGGCAGCTTCGCAATCCAGCGCTCAACCGCTGCGCCACCGGGGAGGCCCCTGAAATGAAGTTTTAACAAAGGCCTGAGATGACCTCATGGGGATGGTTGATAGTGATCCCTTTTTGAAATTTTCCAGATATCAGGGTAAGGGACTGGACTTTCACATCCCCATTGACCAGTCACTGGATGTAGCTGCCCCCCAGAAGGAGCATGAGCTGGACATGACCTTCAGCAAGTTGGTTCTTTTTTGCTGAGAATGACTCCCAGAGAGGAACTCAACTAAGAGCTGTGAATTGCCAGAATTCCTAGCAGTTGGGGGAGTGGGGTGAGGGGTGAAGGGTGGCTCATTCGTGTCTGCTGCCTCAAATCTGCCTTTGGGGGTTCTGCTTTTAAAACCAGCCAGGGTCCTCCCTTGGTGGCGCAGGCGGTTGAGCCCAATGCTGTGAAGCTTTCTGCAGCCTCTGCAGTGCAGGTTCAATCCCGGCCGGCAGGCAAGAATCCTACATGGCACAGCCGACCTCCCCCGACTTGTCAGCTGCTCCCCTCAGCAGTGTACTTCAGTCAGTCTGCCTGTTCTGTTCCCCACTCTGTCTCTGTGAATTCTCTCACCCTCCTGTGCATCTGGCCTGTTCCCTGGTTCTTGTATGCATGAATAAATAAATCTTTAAAAAAAAAAAAAAACTTGCCAGTGCGGGCCTCCCTGGTGGCATAAGGGGTTAAGCACCACACTGTGAAGTAATCCACAACCTCTGCAGCATGAGTTCGATCCCCGCTGGCCAGGGAGCAACCCACATGGCAAGCAGACCTCTCCTGACTCACCTGCTACTCCCCTCAGCGGTGTATTTCAGTTAATCCTCCTGTTCTCTACCCCACTCTGTCTCTGGTGAGTCCTCTGGCCTATAACCCAGGTCTTGTATGCATAAATAAATAAATCTTTAAAAAAAAAAAAAACAAAAACCACCCAGCCAGTGCACAACAGATTTGGCTTGTGATGTTAAATGATCTAAGTAAAACAGTCAATAGAGTAATAGGTCAATCTCTTACTCTGACTTGTCAAATCTTTCTGTCTTCTCTTTGAGGATTTATTGTCTTTCTTTTCTTATTTTTCCTTAAGTCCAGAATGAAGTATGAGGCAACTGTGCCCAAACCTGAACATGGTCTACTTAATACCCTTTGTAAAGCAGACGGAAGAACAGTTTTTTCCCCTGACCAAATAAAGATCATTTTCTCCCTCTATGGGATTGAAGTGATAAAGATGTCTGATTCAATGTGGGAACTGTCAGAACAAATAAAGCAATTTTGCTTAAACGCTTTCCTTCCATCTATCCTTGAAATGGATTACCAAATTAAGTCACCGCTGTATAACCTTGACTCCTTGTGCCCTTCATCGTATTTTGTTTCCTGTTTCAAATGGAAATTTTGCTTTCTTCTGCCTCATTTTTGTCAGATACATTTATGGGAAGTTCTCAAATAATGTCCTCAGATGATCTCCCACATGCAAATTCGTTTTCCTTAGCTGAAAGACTCTGGCTCCTTATTCAAACTAATTCTAGCTCTCAGACAATTTAAAAGGCTGTCTTTTGTTTTCCTGACTAGAAGCTTTCTGTTTTGGGGCCAGAAAATCTATTTTGATTTCATACCAGCAGCTGAAAAATTTGCGATACAAGGGGCATAAGCTAAACAGGAAATGCAAAGAATTTGTATTTCTCATGGATTTATGTGGCATAGAATGTCTTTTATCATTTATTCACACTGAGCATTTCCATCTTTACAGAAAAAGACATGAATTATCTGTTTTTCACCTCCCCGAATCTGTTGACCAGAATGTTTGGATGATGTCACATTGAATAGGATGCTTAAACAGGTATGTCTCATTTGTGTCCTCTCAGAGAGTGAACATTTCTCAGAACACCCAAGAGTTAAGCATAAAAGTCTTCTTTGGTTGACTTTCTCTTACCAGTCAAATGTTGGGCTTTGATTTTTCCATGTTGGTTTGCTTTGAACTGACTTTGGAAGGAGATGACCGGAGTTGTAAGATGTTATAAAACAGGCTGTGGCCTGGCTCCCAGTCACTTCAGGAAGGGGAGGTTGTGGCCCTAATTGCCTGTGTTTTATTTTATTTTATTTTTGGTCTGAATTTTCAGTTAAGCATCATTTATGAAGTTCATCAATATGTTTATAGGTGTGGATTATTCATTTTCTGCTGTGTTGGGCTCATCTTTAGGCCTTCTTTTTCCTTGGTCCTTCTATTTCATCATCAAATCCTATGTCTTTAAATATATCTAAAATCTTGCTCCTTCCGGCCATCTCCTCAGACACCCCTCTGGTTCCAGTCAGTAGTACTTCTGTTTTGAATAATGCAATGAGTCATCGTGTATGTCTTTACTTACTTTCCTGCTTCCCTGCAATCCTTTCTACATGTGCAGCCAGCATGACCTTTAAAAAAAGCATGTTATTCACATACTTGAAACATTTCACCGCTGCCCAGTGCATTTAGGATCATACCCAAAGCTCACGCGAGGGCTGTAGGGCCCTGCACAAACACTGTCCCAACCATCACCTGCAACCCTCTCCAGCTTCATTGTGTGCTTCCAGATCCTCAAAAGAGAAAAACTACCCTGTTTTTAACTTTAGTAGATGTTATTTTTCCTATTTCATTTTTTTCCCCACCCTCTCCTAAGCTGGCAAATTCCCACTCAGTCATTTCCAGAAAGGCTGGCTTCCTTGATGCAGCCATCCACATGAAATCTCTGTTTCATTTGCAGTGAGCAACACCCAACATGTTATAGTGTGTGTGATTGCTAAAATGGCTTCTCTCTGTGCTGTGGCCACTCTGGGACCATGTCTCTCTTGTTTGCTGTTGTAACTGCTGTGTCTAGCACAGTGCCTGGACATCATGGCAGCGCCCATGTACTCCTGGAATGAGTAACTGGCTCCAGTGGAGTTTCAGGTACTATGAGAAAGTTTACCCTAAAATGTATTAAGGGGACCCTTCATTTACGTTTTTGATTTGAAGCTTTTTAGCCTACAACAGGTAAATTGGGTATTATGATTCTGAGCACCTTGCAGCAACCATTCACTTAATGAGCTGTTCTGGCCAAGGCTTAATCTTTTACTTTAGAGAAGTACAGGCCCAGAATTAGAAGCCGCATAAGATCTATGCCAGAGTTCTAGTTTGAAACTGTAAATCTGAATGCATCCCTATGAAACCCAGAGGCCAAATGACATTCATTCCAGTTCCCTGTTTCTGTTGTCTTCCCTGCCACTGTAACTAAGAGACCATATATTTTATTAAGTAAATGTGCAGTACATGAAAGGACAGGTGAGAAGTTGACCAAATTGTGCATTGCCAATGGCTTTTTTGGCCACAAGAGGGAGCTGTTTAAGTTGCTGTTAAACATAACGAAACAATTAAAGGAAGAAATTTGGCAATCATAAGGTTGGCCAGATGGACACCTATTTATATGATATTGACTCTGGAATTCCATTTATTTTTAAGCTAGAAAAATTGCAATTCTTTTTTTCATCTGCAATGTAATTTGCATTTTAAATAATGTTATTAAAGGCAGAGAATTGTTTTTGCCTTAAAATCTAATTTTAAGTCTCATTTAACTAGTGGGAAAAAAGTATAAGTATTCCATTATGTGACAAAGAGATGAAAATTCCTCTCAAAATTAATCTCCTTCCCAGGAAGGAAAGAAATTTTTCTTTTAAAAATTACTTTTTTCTTTCAATTATTAGTCTTTAAGATTTAAAATATTCAAATATGCATGCAAATTATCAGTTTTCTAAAAGAAATGTGCAAATTGTGGCTTGAGAACTCACTAAGAATACTGATGTCTATTTACAGACATACTTACATACCATGAATTCAGGTCCACGGATATACTAACAACCTCCTTGTTGAACTGAGAATGCATTTGAACTGTTGGAGGGAGCTGACGTAATAGAAGTGTGAGGGAGCATATGGGGTACACTCCAGTCAAATGACCTAGTTGACCCCCAGTAACACTACTAACATTCCTTGGGTGTTTATGTGGGCCTGGCACAGGGAATTGATCATAAATATCTCACAACCCTGTGAGGTTACCATTGCTACTGGTTTCATTTTGGAGATATGGAAATTGAGGTTTAGTGATAAGTGTTTAGCATATTGTATAAGATCATAATGCTATTAAGTGCGGAAGCCTGAATTTGAATCATCCTGCCTAAATCTGTGGCTCATCGGGCCTTGGGGTAAATTGCTTCTTTCCCAACAATAGGCCAGACTGTACATGGTTACCTTGATTTTGAACACCAGGATTCAGCCAAGTTTTTCTTCTCCTGAAATGTTTTGTTCCAAGAGGAAAGAGGAAAGTTTTAGAGTTGAATGAAGAACAGCTGTATCTGGGATGATGGTCAGAAAATAGTGCAATGTGGTAAGGTTCTGGTCTTCTGATGACTCATCCATGTGATTTCAAGCCCTGTATGAACACAAACTTACCTGAATCATGAAGAACACACACCATTTAATAGTAAAGGTCAAGTCACCAAAAATGTTCTGAGCAGATGACTTTTAAAAGATCCGGCATTTTACTGTAGTCATCCAGAGTCTGAGCATGTTTTGAGTATTCACACATGCCCTAGGATCAGAAATCTAAGCATCACGTTCCTGGCTCCGGTGGGGCAGTGGCGCATACGGGGAAATAGGAGAGACAATCTTGCTAACGATGTGTTTGCTCCTTGCCCCATGATCAACCCTGTTCCTGACTTTTCTCTTTAAATAATCGGGAAACATGACTGCTTTCTCTGAGAGTATTTATGAGACAATGGCATTCCTGAATATAAAAACAAATGATCCATTCTCATTCTTTAATTTCTTTTAATGTCTCATCAGCTCTTTACTCAAGTCTTTCTTATGCACCAGATACAGAACTTGAATGAGTTTTTCAGGATTGAAAATCAGACTGCCTTAGGATTCATGTGTTTTCTGTTAATTCATGCAGAGTCAAGCTTGCGTGCCCTTTTCATTTGAGCGGTTGTCCAAAGTCCAGCCTCAGGACGGGGACTGGGACATGATTTTGACCTTAGAAACATGTGTTCAAATATGGCAACAGTTCCAAGAAGTTTCTCTGGAAATAAACAGACTTAGGTTCCGATCTCAGGCATTCTTCCAGAGTGGGGCTGCCAACTTAGATCCAGGCTGTTCAGTTAAATTTTGTATTTTGAATAGAGAAAGAATAATAATTTGTGCTTAAGAAACTCCTTAATATTACATGGGAGACATTTTATTGAAAATTATTCACTGTTATCTGAAACTTGATATTTACTGTCTGTTAAGTTGATAGCCCAGCTTCTCTCTCCATCTCTGACGAGTGGGACTTCATGGGGGTGATAAGAGAAGCCCCCATCTTTGAGTTCTGTTGTCAAGATTAAATAAATTAATGCATTAAAACAGTAATTGAGTACTCAACAAATATCAGCCATTATTATTATTATTGTTACCATTATTATCATTATTACTTCCTCATTTCTAAGATTGATGATAATATTAACTCCTCGCAATATCGTGGAGGTTATTATGAGAATGAAATAAGAGAGTATATTGACTGCACTTGGCAGGCAGTACACTTTCCTTTACCAGAGTAGTTAAACTTTATTTTTTGAAGGGTTCTATGTTATTTGAACTCTTTCTTTCATCTATTTTAAAGGATTGCCGAGAACTGAATATATCACCCCTCGTCTTATAACTACTGAGGGTGGATCTTTGAAAGGTACTCAGAGAGAGAAAGAGACAGCTTTTTTCTCAGCACAGTGATTGATTATGTGCACTTTTGGTTGAGATAAACTTATCCAAAGATTCTTTGTCCATGGAGAGTAAGTGCTTTGACCAAGTTCAAGGCTCTAAGTGGTATATCACAAAGTGGGACCTTCTCCTTGAGTGGGTAGAGAGATTGTGTGGTGTGGAGGGAAAGGGTCTCTTGACCTCATTGGCCTTTAACTGGTGCACACACTTGTGCCACCACCAATCTCTCGAATGTGGGGTGCTCTCACCCACAGGGGATAGTAGGAAAGGGATGTGGAGCTCCCTCGCCGGAGCATGAGCATGGCAACCGGCTGAACGGCTCCCCAGAGGAAACTTCAGGAACTAATGACTCTTCCCAAAAGACACATCCACCTCTAGGGCGAGCCTGGAGTACAAGGAGAATAGTTATTCATGTAGAGCCCAAGATATGTCAGAGGGACTGTTCAATGTATATTCAAGTTCTAATAATTTTTATTCCCTATTAACAGCGGAGATGTTGAAGGTCTGTGAGCACTAAAATCTGCAACTATGGAGAGCTATATGCCTGCAATATTGATGAGGCTTTCATTCCATTATCAGTTTTCTAACTTGGAAATCATTAAAAACAGGCAAAAACAAGTAAAACTTTTCTTCCCATGCTAATATACTCTAAATATGTTTTCTTCCCATGCTAATATACGCTAAATATTATTCTGTGGCACGGTTAGAATTGAAAGCTGCCATTTTCCTATTCCAAGTAAAGATTAGAGAAGGGAGAAAAAAGCTCAGACCCTCACCCTTAACTCAGGCTTAACTTTGTCTGGGGAGGAGACTCAATGGGGATGAAGAACAAGACCAAATATGAAAGTTTGCTCCTTAGACATGTAAGAGTGCTCCAAGTTTAGAACCAGGAGTCACTGAAACTAGAAGGAGGCATAGTTCTAACTCATCTGATACTTATCAATTTATAGCAAAAGAACCAAAGCCCAGGATGGTGTGGAGACTTCCACAGGGACATCCATCCCATTAGTGGTGGGAACGGAATGAGTCCTGTTATCTTGTCTCTCTGGCTGTCAATGACTCTGTGCGAAGACTCTCAA